CATGCATGGTGGTTGTGTACGCATTGCAGGTTTTTGTTGTTTGGGAGGTTATGCCCCAAAGCGGTCCACCTAAGCCTTGAAGGCCGTTGTGAAGAGACTTGGTGGGCACTCGAGAATTCAGTTCACACCTCTACAGTGGGAGTAGCTTATGCAGGCATATCGATGGCAAGATCCACGTGGGTTTCCTCAAGATCCGCGAGTTCTTGGATGGACTCAAGAAGAGGCGGACCCAGCCCACCTTGCAGCGCCGAGTGCTTCTCATCGGACGCAACGGAGGCGTTCTGCTTATTGTTGATGACGCTGGGATGAAGTGTGGTGCGGTTGGTCCCAGTGCGTCAGGTGTGAGATGCGGTCTTCATCGTTATCCAGAGATTACTGGAGCGATGGGTCTCCGATCGCGCAGATATGTTGATACATGCTTGGCGCTTGTACGCTTTTTCTTTCAAGGACAGATGTTATCATCACAGTCCTGTTAGTATATGTATCCTCCTCACCCAGGGGGCGGTCATAGGTTCGCCTTGCCATGCGTTGTCCTCACATGCTTCACACTTCTGCCGTACTCCTCCCACCCTCCACCCTCCTCTTGCCTCCATTCTTTCCGAGCATACCCTTTCTCTTCCCCTGCTTCTGCGCGTCGAGCACCTCGAACGGAAGGACCTTCGTGGCGAAAAGCCCTCCTCCACCTCCTCATGTTCGTCCCCCTCTCTTTCCACCACCCCTCTACCTGCCCCTCCGTCTGCGGTGCTCTCGCTGGGGCGTGAGAGCAAGAGGAGGTCGAGCGGAAAACGGTGGCCATGGCTGCGGAGCGAGGTCGGGGGAAAGGGAAGGAGGAAAAGGGGGAGAGAGAGTGGGGAGGGGGAGGGCAGAGGGGTAAAGGGGAAAGGGAAGGGTAAGGGAAAGAGGGAAAGGGGGAGAGGGGGAGAGGGGGAAAGGGAAAGGGAAAGGGGGAGAGATGAGAAATGGAAAGGGGGAGCGGAGAAAAGTGGGGAGGAGGGGGATACGAGAGCCTCGGTCGTCCCCGTTGTGTCGTCCCCGTTCTGCCGGTTTCGTCGTCGCCCTCCGTCCGACGGACTGCGCCGCACAGCCGGCGGTGCGCGCCTGGCCACACCCGTGCAGATGGGCGATGGCCGCTAGTGTCGAAGTCGGAGGAAAGCGGGAGCTTTTGGTGGGTGGATCTCTCAAGCTCTCCGCCGCCTCTGGCGGTGTGCGTTGCGAGCAGGAACACGGCAGCGCACGCCGCAACGCACACTGCCAGAGGCGGCGGAGAGCTTGAGGGATCCACCCACCAAAAGTGATGGCCGCTGGTGTCGAAGTCGGAGGGGAGCGGGACATGGAGTCGGGGGGGCCCCCTCGGCGCCGTGGCGCCCACGGGGCGGCACGGCGCGCCCGCCGCAGGCAGTCCGAGCGCGAGAAGGACGGAGGGGCGGTGGCGCTCGACGGCGCTGCGCTTGCCAGTTTCAGGCGATCGCAACTTTGCACAGTCCTTGCGATTGCGATTGCCAGTGGCGCTGCGATTGCCAGTGGATCAAGGGTCGGGCGAAGAGAACTATGCACATGCACCGATCCTGGCAAGGCCAGGGTAGGAGGGCGTATGCACCGATCCTGGGCTCCGGATGGGCCTGGCCAGAATCGGTGTATGTGCATAGTGTTTTTTCCTCTACAGGGGGCTTGGAGTAACGAGGCGTCCGGTTTCCATGGGAGATCGCGGATTCCCGCCGTTTTGGGGAGGGCACCTCCCCCGATCCATGCATTTGGCGACCGCGCGCCAAATCCATGGATCGCTAATCCATGTTTGCGCGCCCGCGACAGTTGGCTGACTGGTGACCCCAGGGGACTGGCGAGGAGGGGATGGAGGAAGACGACGACGAGGGGTTCAGGAGGAGTTTTCCAAGGGGTCCGAGTGGGCCCCTGGATGGACCACGCTGATCACAGGGCCACGTGGGGATCTCGGGATCTCGGCGGGGCTCCTGAGCACTCCAGAGCAGGAAGGACGACGTGGCTCTATTCCGCGGCCCTGTGCCACCTGGCCTTTCCCATGGAGACGGCGGGAGCCTGGGGACAGGGCGCTAGCGGTGTCAGCCGCGTGTGATTCTGATATGGAGTTGGCGGGGAGGAGAGGGAGAGAGGAGCAGCGAGGACACGAGAGTGGAATGCAGGGGAGGGGAGAGTGGAGGGGATGGGGGCTGAAGGAGGAGAGGCGAGGAGAGGAGAGAGGAGACCAGAGAGGAGAGCAGAGAGGAGAGTAGAGGAAAGGAGAGAAAAGGGAAGGGAAGGGTGGAGCAGCGAGAGAAGGGAGGACGATGAGGGGAGTTGCGAGGCGAGGTGAGTATGGCGTAGTCGAGACCAGGCGAGATCTGGAGCTAGAGATGGGATGGGGAGGGGAACAGGAGTCGAACGACATATAACGACATCACGGGAGATTGAAGGGGAGCATTGAGGGGTGGCCGCCGTGCTGCGCGAAGGACTTGGGATCCGGGGGCAGAAGCCGCAGCTACCGGAGGCGCGAGTCTCATTGCCCGCTCCAGCCAGCAGGAGCAGACGTAGTGACGGCTGCAGTGATGGAGGATATCGATAGGTCTGAGGATAACGATGATGAGGAGGAGGAGGAGGAGGAAGAGGAGCAAGAAGAGGAGAAAGAGGAGGATGAGGAGGAGGAGGAGGAGGAGGATAAGACGCTGCCTGGCGTCGCCGCGCGTCAGCACTGGTGGGTGCAACAGATTGAGGGCGACATATCAGCCACCCCCGAAGCTCCAGGGTGTACCCTCGCCCACCAGTGGGATCTCGGCTAGGGGGGCGGAGCACAAAATTGTTCTTAAATATTGAAGGGAACCTGATACTGTGAGGAATTAGAGTGCAGGCTGCCCTGAGGTCTATTGCGGCTCCACAAGGAGCCGCAGCCAGTGAACTTCGGGGTCCTGAGATACCAGCGGCCTGGGGGCCCAAAAGGTCCTGGACCCCTCTCTCCCTTCATCAGCTGGGTGCTTCTCAGCCCAAAACACTCTGCGATGGCGGGCAGCACGTTCTGATATGCGGCCTTCGTCGGCCTCACAGTTCACTAGCAGATGCCCTGCCGTCCCTGTTGAGAAAAATCCGCACGACACGCAAAGGACGCAATGTCCTGATGCCACCCAAAGTCTGTGTCCCCTGGCGGCAGCAGCTGGAATACTGACCCGTCGGGGCACCATGGCCGCAGGGACAGTAAGATCCGCTTCCTTGGGCTTATCATTTTGCCCAAGACCTGTCACGCATCGGAGTGTCAGGGTCAACCGTGCCCGAACCATCACGGCCCACCACAGACATTTCCGAGGGAACGCAAATTCTCTCCACAGCCGCGGCAAGACAGCTAGCATCCACCGAGGAAGTGGAAACGGCAGGGTTAAACTCAACGCGACGTCTGGCACTCTTAGTCTCGGGACTCTCTTCCCGAGCTTTTGAGCTGTTGGGCGATGCATGTGGGCGTTGGTGAGACAATTCGGTAGCATCAAAATCCAATTCAGGCGCCTGTCTTCGCTCCTCGGGGGTTCGCCCGATTGGCTCCTGGGAACCTGCCCGGAGCACCCGAAAGGGCCCTCAGTGGAATGAGTTTGGCTTTCCCCCTCGGTAGCGAGCGAGGCGGAGTGCGTCAGCTCTCCATCTTGACCAGAAGCACTGGAACGTTCAGGCTGCGGCGACAGGATCGGAAACAGTCCGCAGCTCGATGGAAGAGCGAAGGCAGTTCTGATTCTCGCTTCACACGCTTCAAGAGCCAGTCGCCTCTGAGCTTTGAGGGTCCTAACTCATGTCTTACATAATCAGCATCGGACAAAACCCTCCCCCTCGGGAAGGTGGTGGCGCATGTGATGTGGCGGAAGCGACACGGTCCTTCTAGTTTTTTGTGTTAACGAGTATTGTTTTTTTCCGCCGACGTGTTTCTATAATGCCAGCGGAGAGATGCTGCAAATGCGCTTCAACAAGCCAACGCAACACTTTTCGAGTGGCGTTCAGAGCGAGGCGCATGGCTTTATGTTGCTGCGTGGTGACAGCATGCAAATCTCTCCTAGCACGAGCCGCCAGATCGGCCCATCGGTTGGTGCGGGCAGCCTGGGAGTTTCCTTCTTGGTGCCCTCTCGCGCGCGAGACTCTCAGGGCCTCTCCAAGGGCCCCAAGATCCTCGATGCTGTGCCAGATGGACGCCTAAAGATCAGGATGTGTCACTGTAGGCCCACAAGTGCAGGCAGAACCCCAGGACAAACCGTTCACAATACCCATATTGACAGTATGCACATGTACTGGGGTGATACAAACTTCTAGAACCTTCGGGAAAGCGTGAAGCTCAGCCCTGGGGGAGCTCTGGATGGGTCCCGGAAGTGTTCCATATAGTGTTGGTGTTCTTGGCGAAACCCCACCTTCTCAATGGTTCTGGCCAAAATCATGCCTTCTTGCACGCGCCGTCAGTGTAGATGCCGCCCGTGACGCAATCTAAGCTTCCGTATGCCACATGCCAGCGGTCGCTGTCGTCCATGTGGGTAGCGGCGGGAAGCATGAACGCGAGGCCAGACCTCTCGTCCAGAACCATGAGCCATGGGAACGGGACGGGAAGCCTTGCATGTCTGCACATCCGAGCCTGGTTTGCCTATGCTGCTCGCGCCCTGGACATTGCCAGAATACGGAATGGTGCGCAGTATTCATTGGGAGAACGGGCAATGTGATGCGCGTGCGTATCCACGTCGAGAGAGCTTGCTGGGTGCCCAGAAACACTTCCCAACAATGGTACGGAGCATTGCACTTTCTTGATGCGTGGGGGCCCATGGGGAGGCCAGCTCTGGGAGGGGCTCAGGATCTTGCTCACTTTCGTTGGGGTCATCGGGGGTGCCACTGGGCAAGCCCATGATAGGTTCCAGCCAGCATCCACTGGGTTCCATCAGGTCCACCCCGTCGCCGGCGGGATGGCTCATCTTTGCCCGAGAGCACCGCGTCCCACGAACAGCAGCCGCTCTGGCCAAATCGCGAACATTGACAGGAGTCGCACGATGAAACCAACCTTGTCACCTGGGCCCGCGACGACAGCAAACGCTGAAGCGGACCGCCGTCCGAGGTCGCGCCATGCAAGCGGCGTAGCACTTGTCGCGCCTGCGAGTTGGTCCCAAGGCTTGGCCGCCCGCAGGAGGCAATACACTTGCCTCTGCCAGGCCCTGTGCAACGCGTCGCGAGAGACGCATCTATCCTGGGCCAAGAGCGCCCGCTGGAAGATAGATTGGATTCAACAGTGGACATGGGGGTCATTCCCAAAGGATCCGTGAATGCACGATAAAATACAGGCCGAGGCAGTGGCCCCAGGAGTGCGCCAGGTTTTCATAGGTTCCCCCCATGACGCTTCGCATTTGCTGGACAAGTCGCGGGGGCGCGCCATGAACCCCACGCCCGTGCTGCGCAGCTGACGGCAGGGCCTGTCGGGGGGAACGCGCCACCACACCTCTTGACTTCTTGATAACCGATAGTGGAGACATCCTTGCCCGATGCCACTTCGCTGCCCAAGACTTCTGGAGGCGATGCGCAACGATGCCCCATGTGCCCGACTCGACGAACGACTTGCTTGCCTGACGGCGCGGACGAACACGCAACAGTCATCCTGTGCTAAGTCCACGCCGTGCAACGTGACAACGAGCTTCGACGAAATAGTAGCCGAGGCATTGACAGTCTTTGGTGATGTCATCAGCATATAGATCAACTGTGCGTGCTCTGTGCTCTGCGCCGTCGTGCACGATGTCAAACGGTCCCACCATCACGCGCCGCAAGAAGAATCCGGCAAGTGGGCACCCGGGCAGAGCGCCTCTAGCGGCCCAAGCATCGCTTGAAAACGAGGAGTCCCATGCAATCCAGAGGGGCGACATATACACGCGCAAGGCTAGCACAACCAGACGGCCTGGAAATCGGCGGAGCGCTGCTGCAACTACCAGGAGGCGCCAGGGAATGCGATCGAAACATTTCCCAATGTCAGCTGTGGCCTGGGCAGTTCGACCCTCCGACCCCGATTCCGCTGCATCCGCCTGAACCAACAGCCGCGCTGCAACATCCGCGGTCGATCTTTGGGCTCACAGGGCAATGCGCGGCCCCCCAAGACGACTGGCCCAACTCCTTCCCTAGTCAAGCCTGGTTTTCCCCCGTAGTCGGTACACGGAGTTAAGTAGGGCGGCTGGCCGATGACCCCCCGGGGGTTTGGCAAGTAAGCCGAGGTGTATTCTCCGAAACAGATCTGGCCAAATTCCCCAGGTTTCGCATAAATGCAATATGTATCCGACGAGGGGGAGTGCGCCATTCGAGACGATGGCCCAGCGTCGCGGTCGAAACCTATCAGCCCCGACTGCCGTGCCGGGCGGGAACCTGGTGGCAGTGCCGCGCAGGTCCGCGATCTTGAGAGGGTGATATTGCGGGCCCTTGCGAACCAGATCACGCATGTCCCCGAGGATGCCGCCACCGCGGTCTTGGGACAGGCGGCCATCGTAGTGGGGCGGGGCCTCGTCGAGGCCATCCCAGAAATTTCCCCGCGAGGGGCGCTGAGACGTCGCGATGTCCCTAGGAAAATTGGATATTCCAAAACCGGTTTAAACAGTGGATAGCTGCCAGCCTTTGGGCTCGGTCCATCTGTGCACGGCGCTTGGCTCATTGGCGAGGGAAGTGCGAATCCATTCCCGAGAGGACTTGGCGCGCGCATTTGCGAGACGCCTCTCTTCGCACTGCGCTGCCTTACCGAGGATGCCGCCCAGGAACAGCAGCATGTGCGGATAATAGATTGCTGGCTGAGCGGCTATGCACATGGTCATGTGCATGATGTCGGTGCCCGTGCGCTCGTCAATATGCCCGCGCAAGCGTCCATCCCGACCTCGACCGCCCATGAAATTGGCACGGTGTATTCATATGCGCGCGCATGCAGGCGCTTTGGCCTTAATGTACATAAGCCGCAAGTCATGCAACTGAGACTGCAATATGCGCAAGGACCGCGTCTGCTGTGTACCCGCAGGTCGGTACCGAGCCAGGGAACCACTCGCGGTCGCATATTTGCACTGTGGCCCCGATGCCCCGCCGCGGTAGTCATCTGTTGTCGCAGCACCAAGGTCAAACAGAGGGGGGAGCTCCCCCTCAGCACCCATGTAGAGACTAGAGGCGAGGGCCTTTACACGCTCAGCATGGCGACGTGCATTTCCAACCCCCCTTGTCCACATCATCCCTCATGGTCTGCACCCAGACGTCCTGGGGAGTGCCACATTGTAGGTGATGTGGTTCATCGTCCAGGCCATCTCCGTCTAGCTCAGGATGCTGCGGCTTGGCGGGTAGGACGCGAGGCTTGACCAGACGACGCAGACTCTGACTCCCCCGACGTGGCCCAATCTCTGCACACATCGGGTGGCGTTGTTCGGGTGGGAAACCTACGACTCGCCAGGGCCCCGACATTGCGGTCGCAAGGGGGTCCGAATCCGACGCCATCCAGTAGTCCAAACGCGATGTGTTTGCCGACCCCGGGTC